TTCTGGGTTTTTGCTAACTCTCATACCTAGCGATGATACTTCTCTTCTAAGATGCAACACTGTAGGGGAAAACCTGCTGTTGGGACTTTTGTGTTTTGAAATGAGTAGGATACTTTTATTCAAAACAAATACGGGAGAGGGCTTAAAGAACATACAGCTTCCTCTGTTTTGACATAGACTTTGTTCACTGGTTGTTAGCTCCTGTTTAACTTTGTCAGGTAAGCATAATTCAGTTATACTGTACTTCAGACTTCTACATTAGTGGAAATATAGGGCAAGGACTAGATTAAATGGGGGACAGAATTTATCCCTCTGCTTGAAGATGCCCTGGTGCCGAGTTTCTAGGTGACACGGTTCTTTGCCGCCTGGTGCCACAGCACGCAGGCTCTCTGTGTGGCTGCAGGTGTGCTGTGGCTGCAGGGCAAGTTGCAAGCTAAGTGAAGTGTGGCCTGTGGAATGTGGCGATGCTGAGATTTAAACTCAACTTTTACAGCTACAGCATGCCAGTACCTCGGGGGGGATGGCAAAAGGCTCTATGGTACTGTGTAGATGGGCAGCTGGAGAGCAGAGTGCCTGTCAAGTGAGCTATTGGAAAGGTGGACAGTGGGGGAGCAAGGAGAGCTACTGGCATCGAAAGGGTGGTGTGTGGAGTTACAGGAGGAGATTGGTGTTGATCCATGCTGGGGACTACACATGGAATTGGAAGGAATTTGGCCTTTACTTCGTTCTGTACTGTATGCTTTGATTTTTTTTTTTTTTTTTTTTTAAATTCTGATCCTTTAAAATTGATGATTGCCTGCTTTGTATTTGGACCAACATAATATTCCTCTTTGCATTATGACAATTACTAATTTACTAGACCTTGGTCAGCTAATTCTGTGCTAAGTAATGAGCAATGACAAAGATGTCAAGGAAAATACACCTCAGCAGAACTTCTAGTGTTAATGCATGAGCTCCTATGTAGTCTGTAGGGCAAAGAGAGAAATGGTATTACTGTGGACTGAGTTTTCAGACTGAGTGACTCTCTGTCAACTCTGGTATCACATTTGACAGTAGCTAGCACTAGATTAGGGGAAGCTTCAGCAGATCGGTGCCAGCAGTGCAGATGTGGCAGTTTGCACAATTTCGAAGCGACCTTCAGCGTTCCAGTTGCTGAAAACGAGGACAATGAACTCAAGCATCAGGTTTTGTTTCTCAGCAAATACTTGTTTCTAGCTTCCACTGTTGTAGCTCTGTGTCAGAGTGCAGCAAGGTCAAAGCTGTTCCCACAGGGAAAGGAGGCCAGCAGAAGCACTGGCTTCACCAGCAAGGGACCAGTCCCACCGTACCCCAAGTGAGGCAGTAAGTGCTGATGAGGGTAGTCAGGTTCAGCCCAGAGGCCAGACCACCAAGCAAATCTGTAGTGACAGGGTAGGTCCGAAGTCAACTGGGAAATCGAGTCAGGATGACAGTCAGGTCCGGACATAGTGACCAGGATCAGTGATTGCCAGGCGAGTCCGTAGTGGTGAGGCAGGCCTGCAGTCAAGCTGGGAAGTTGGCCAGGACCTGGATCAATGGGGCGCGTGGCTGAGGCACAGCTCAGGCAAGGACCAGGTTGAGAGCCTCAGCTTTAAAGCAGCCTTGAAGGGAAAGAAGGTTGCCCTCACTGAGGCCTCCCAACAGAGCTGTTGGAGGATGAGCCTTTGCTGAAGTTCCTTCAAGTTTTCTTCATACCTTCTGTCAACCGGCTGGCCTTGAGCAGCCAGCTAAGCTGCTAGTGGTTGGACTGTGCTCTGGGTCCTGACACTCTGGAGTTCTTTATTCCTGTACATGTTTGCTTTCTCATTGAGTCTTGCTGGATCTTTGGCCTCTAAAATGATCTGTGGTGTTGAGTTCCTTATTTTAATCACAGTCTGGGGAGGAATCTCATCCTTTGATGAGATTTGGCATTAGCCATTCCAGGATATCTGTCCTGTGCCTATCATACTTTTTCAGTTAAATGTTCACAAATATTTTGAATGATAAAAATGTGAATTCTCTGTTTCCTTCTTCTAACCCTAGACAGTCAATGGCATCTTTTTATAACACAGGGTTTTCTCATGCTGACCTGGGTCTAATTCGTCTACCCTATCCTTTTCCAGACTGTTGTTTATTAGTGTCTGACTGTTGTAGTGTTGCTCAGGAGCAAGTAAATTTCAGATATATTTTTACATTGTGTTTTGGGTTAAAGAGGCAATGGAAAATGGGATGTGGCTTATTTCATTATTAACATTAATTTTTTTATTATTATAATAGGTTAGGACTTGTAATCATGTCAGTCTCTGCTTGAAGAAAAGATTCAGTATAACTAGAGTCCACCTTTTTTTGCTACAAAAAATAGTAGATTCTCAGGTTTTCCAGGAAAGAAGAACAATTGCTTCAATGGTTAAACAAAAGACAAAATACTTCCTAGACTTATTTCAGAGGTAAGTTAAATGTTTTCTTAAATGCTTCCATTCCGATCTTCCAGCACACACAAAAACATTTAATGGTAAGACCATTACTGATGTTTATCAATGATGTAATAAGTTGCAAAAAAGTGAAATCTACTGAAATTAGTACTGACTTCCTGATGACTTAATGGGGTGGTTTAGCCACCTTTCCATCTGAAGGGTGTTTGAAAACCCCAACTTTACTCACTTTTTAACCTGTAAAGACATCTTTCCTCATGGTGAAAATCCAGTGTGGCTTTCTGAAACCCAGCGTCCTGTCCAGTGTTGTTCCAAGTTGGCAAACTCCTTACTCCGCAGTTCTCAAATTGTACAGTTTTGTCACAACATATTAGATTTTTAATGTGCAGGCATATAATTGAGAATGACACATGATTACTAGAGGATAATGGCCCCTCAATGGCGGTGTCACAATGCATCAGTTTAACCTACGTTTAAATGCGAACTGGTTTTTGTGTAGTATTTCATAGTGTATTGCTTGGAGATCTTGCTAAAAAAAAAAAAAAAGCAGGACGTGAAACACATAAGACTATAGAGAGTACAATTGTGAGAAGCCCCCTGCTTGGCCTGTCTGTAAGAACAAAATATTACCTCCAGAACCTGAGTCCCCAGCTGGAGATCTGGCAGCAGTTTGTTCATTAAGTGATTGAATCACCTCCTTTGTTTAAATTCTACTCCACTTGAAATCTGTCCTTTATCTTATTTATAAGTTTAGGACAGCATGTCAACAAAATAGGTGAAAGGTCAGTATATTGCATCCTACAAATGTACATATTGATGACTCTGGAGCTTTGCTTGCCTAACAAAAGGCTCAGCAGTCAGTGGAATGCAGTGAGTGGGCTTTCCTGCTGCTTTGTGGCAACGCAGATGGGGCTGCAGTAACTTAATGCTCTTCTTTTTTTCTTTTTTTTTTTTTTTTCCAGAAGGATTCTGGAGTTGATGAATGGGGATAGACTGCTGTTCCCACAAGTAGCCAGGATGGTGTATTTGAGCCTTTGGCTTCTTTGTCTTAACTATTCACCAGAGTCCATTCATTTTGTGGTGGTGTTGCTCCTCGCTCTAAGCAGGCAGTGTTTCCCACCCGATGGGGCGTCTAGAACACACAGGAAGCCCACAGAGGAGCTGCTTAGTGCAGGGCCTTCGACATGAGGGAAGTGGCCTGTCGTACAGATGTTGGTGGGGTATGCCAAG